AGCGGAAAATTTCACAAACTTTACAAATGATATCCGATCGTTTAGATTATTCAGCCTGATTGATACTGGAGAACTATCCATAAAATAAAATGTACTAAGTCTTTTTTCTACTCAATTTAAATAATTCTTTATAGTATGATCAGCTCCAGTTCTGATAATGAATGGGAAGTTTTTAACCGCAAAGTTTCATCAAGATGCATTCCTAAGCGAACCAAGAATTTGTTTGACATCCCACAAAGATAACTGTCAGTGATAACTGAGTGATTTATCACTTCCATAGTTCTTATGTAAAGGATATCTACTCGGAAATCAGGCGTTAAAAGTTCGTAAGAACTCAATTACAGGCTATCCTGATATATTGTTTAGTTAATCTTTTTGTAAAAATGTGCGTAATATACTCTTTCAAATTGAAATAGAACCGCCATAGAAGTGCAATAAATATTGCAAGACAAGTCAAATTATAAACAACTAATTAAAATACTCAGCGGTAACACACACCAAAACGGCGTATTTATTATTACTATTATTATTATTATCCTGGCTGCTTTATACACTCATTTGAAGTAACTCACGCAAGCGTAGCCAAGTTTTCAAACATATTTTCTTACAGTACAAGATAACCAACTGTCCAAATCCTTATAATATGGCAGGATATTTGTACCCTATTTAATGCAGTTGAATATTTGAATATTTAATAGCGTCAAATTCAAATTTTTTTGTGGCTACTGCCTCCTCTAGGAGGCGAAGCCACATATGTCGTCGAAATGGGTGAGTGATGGTAACAATCGAATTCCGATCTTTACCCAATTTTGACTCGATGTTTCTAGGTGTTTCATTACATCTCAGTCGTTCGACATTCGCACTCGATACACAGTTCTCAGTCTCCTTTTGTGATTACTGGGTTATAGCCACTAGCCCATTATGCTATAATCCCTGTTCTTATTGTGGCTACTGCCTCCTATACAATAGAAGGCGAAGCCACTATGTTACGGGGGTAGATGAGTGCGTGAGTGGGTGATGGTAAGTAACAATAGAATTCCGAGCTTGACCCGGTGCTTCCTACTTTTTTTTTTTTCTAGGAGTATCTTATTAGTTCGACATTTGCACTCGACATACATTTGAATTCTCTCGTTTAGTGATCTCAGGCTTGTAACCACTAGCACGTTATGTTTCCAGCTCTTGCCATGACACTACAGAAGACAGCAAAAGACGATACGATTCACCACTTGGAGGGTTGATTTGGAACCAACATAATGACCAGCTCCCGGTTGGCTTGTTATTTAAAAACCCGATTTTTTGATCATGAGTATGATTACAGCCAGAATTGGACGACACGAAGTGCTGCTACCAATTAATCAAAACTATGACACAATTTGAGAAAGAAATTAAATATCGGTTGTACGTTTTCATAAAAAAAAAAAACAACAACAGTTAAATCGGCGAATGCGAGACAACAACGCGCGCACATGACGCATTCTGTCCACTTACACAGGCATGACGTATTAACTGTCCTATCACACTGTCCAATTAGAAGCATGACACGTACACTGTCCTATCAGTGCTCAAATCAGGCAGGTGATGACCAGTCGCGTTCAGGAATTTTGTAATAGTTTTGATTATATTTTTAATACGGCTTTCACTTTCAGAACAAGGATCCCCGGATGATGCAAATCTTTTCGTGGGAGCTCTTCCGTGCAAGCCATCTCATTTCTACGGAAGAGAAGAAATGCTGAAGGAAATTGTCAGAGTTCTCAGTGAATGGAACGGCAAGCGACTGGTAGTCATAACCGGTTTACCAGGTTATGGTAAATCCTGTTTGGCGCAAAGAATCGGTCATACAATGAAGGAGAATGGTTTCCAAGTTATCTTCCTATGCTTACGAGACATCCGATCTGTCGGTAAAATGTCCGCCAAGATTCTATGCGCTTTAAAAGCAAATGTTGGTCAAGGACTGATGAATAATCCGCGTGAGCTGGCACTGTCGTACTTAAAATCTCTCAGCACAAGGACAACTCTTATTCTTGACAACGCTGAAGACCTCATTTGTGACGAAAACTCAAAGAAGGAGTTTTATAGTTTTGTGAACCAAGTCGCTCAGTTTGCAGTTCACGTGAAATGTGTCATTACCTCAAGAGTGGATTGTCCTGCTTCTTGTCAAACCCCGCGCCACTCGGTAAAACTACTCGTCATCGAAAACGATGCCGCAGCGAAATTGCTTGAAGAGAAGGTTAAAGACATTGGCCGTTTTCTTGAAAACCAGCAGGCTAAGACTATAGCACAACTCTGCTTTAACATTCCCCTAATCTTGCACGCAGCCGCTGCCTACATGGAAGTCATTCCCCCAGAGACACTGATTCAAAGTTTGCAAAGTCATTTTGGAGCCATAGAAATTTCAAGCATGGGGGAACTGTTCCCAGAGCTGCAAATGAGGGGCTTTCTCACTGAATGCTTACAACAGCTTGGCACCGATTTCGAGGAAGACTTGTATTCCTTGGCAGTATTCCCGGCTGCATTCAGCTACCAACAAGCACAGAGAGTATGCTGTTCAAAAAAAAGGCTTCCTACCGCTCTGTTTCAATTGGTGAAGAGGTCTCTTGTCCACAGAGAGTTACATTCTAACCACTTCTTCGTCCATCAAGTGATTCAACTGTGCTGCAAAGAAAAGGCCAAGACAGACGATCGATTGCGCGCGTATTACAGTCGGGCGCAAGCAAGATTTATTGAGTACTACCTAAACTTAATTACCGAGTTACACCAGGAATTCTTGTGCAAAGGTAACTTAGAGAAATCGCTCTGTCGTTTCTGGGCAGAGGAGCAAAACATTGTTCAAGCAATTTGTTGGGCGGCAGCGAGGGAGGGAACTACACCCCCTGCTCGTTGTGCAAAGATCCTAAACGAAGCAGTCATCTTCCTGGCCAAAGTAATGAAGAATGCTCAATTTGAAGAAATCTACGAAGTCGTTTTAAGCGCGACCAAAGGAGACTTACGACTTGTGGCTGATTGCCTGACGTGTGTTGGTATAAAACACATCTACAGTTGTGAATGTCATCGGTCTTGCAGTGTTGTAACAGAGAGAGCCTACAGAGTCTTGACAAGAGCGCTAGAAATCTACGAAAAGCTTAACCTGACAGAGGGAGAGCTTGTTGCACAGTGTTACAGCAAGATCGGACGCTGCATGGCCAAGAATGGAAATCCTTCCAGAGCTCTCGAACTGAGCGCAAAAGCTCTCGCAATTAGAGAACAGAGGAGACCGGATGAGCCATTGAAGTATGCAGCTTGTTGCAACGACCTGGCAGGTAGAGTAGGCTTAACAGTGTTGCCGATTGAAAAACATTGTTTTTCGTCAAGAATGTAGATGGAAACTTAAAGAACCAATTAAAAAATATGTTGCCAATCCAGAGGCAAGTCAAGTATTTGGCTGAGATTTATTACCGAGCTACACCAGGATATGTTAAGCTAAGAAAGGAGCAAAACTTTGTTCAACCATTCGGTGAGCAGCAGTAGAAGGGTTATTTCGTTCTCATCTCTTCTCATAGGGAAAAGGTTTTCAAAAATCAGTTATCTTCCTGGCCAAAGTCCTGGCCATAGTTCTGGCCAAAGAGGGCTTTATAGCTAACATTTATTGACAGTTATTCAAAATTTCGAAGGCACTGTAGCTAGGAAGATAGCTGCATGCCTCCCACCAGTTGGATTTTTTAAATACGAAGTTTATTTTCAATGTCTATTTACAATTTGATTGCATTTTAGGGCCTAGGTGAATATTATTTAGTGTTAATCTGGTTTACCTCAGAAAAGTGGAGTATTCATAATTGTTATTATTAACATTATTTTTATTGAAATTATAATTTTGATCCATTAGCACATCAAGTTTTTGCTTGGCAAAGGCCAGAATAACCCACGACATATAATTTTTTTCCTCTCTCTTTTACCTCCAATAGTTGTTCAAAGCTGCTTAAACAACCACCTTGAAGCCCTAGCTCTCAGGGAACAAGCCCTTAGTGCTTATGTTGAAGAACTAGGGGATCATCCATTTACCGGAACGCTCTACAACTATCTAGGCAACGATTGCCTTGCACTAGAGAACTTCGATAAGGCCGTCGAATATTTCACCAAGGCGCTCAGTATCAGGAAGATATTTCTTGGCTTTGACCACCAAGAGACTGCCCGAACGTATCACGACTTGGGTCTTACTTACAAGAGGAAGGTGAGTTAAACATTATTGTAGGTGTGCGTTGTATATACTGCAGTTAAAAGACTCTGGTTTACTGCAATCACATCCGTGGTATTCAAAATTGAGACCTTGACCCTGGCTCTGCTACTTCGCACCTTTTTTTCTCTTCTTTTGGAGGCCGAGATAAGATATGTATTTCAAACGACCCTTTCACTCTTAAGACTGATCTCATTAGCAATTATCCTTACTGTCTGCCATACAGTTTTTCTTAATGTTGGTTCGAAGAATTTGGCATCGATAGTTTCTCTTTATTCTCATCACTTTCCTGCTTGATATAGCATTAATATTGTCATGAGAAGTACTATCTTGGTCACTCATGGGTTGCAAACAGGAGGAAAGAAACTGATCAATTCTCACCACTGTTTCTTCGACAGCAAGACGCACCCTGAAAACGCACTCTGATACATTTCACCTGATCCTGTGCGAAGTTTCATCATATGTTTGAGTCTGAGACTTCTTTTCTACCTCTTTTTCAGGGAGATTATGCGAAAGCCATGGAACAACTGGACAAGGCAGTCACGATCCAAGAAAAACTCTGCGATGTACCCCATGAGAAACTCAAATCTCTTCAAGAGAAGAGGGAGATCTACTCATGCCTGAATTTAACCGACTCAAGTGCTCAGGAGCTACAAAAGAAGTTGGAACAGTGTCAGGAGGAGATGACTCGAGAGAAAAAGGTCAATAACATTAGATTGGAGAGAATTATGGACATGGCAAACAACTAGCTGAAAAGTTAGCAGTGTTACTTCAATATGATGTAACTGATTCTTAACATGACTGACTCCACCGACTGAACGAACATATTACTTCAGACACGTCTGTTAGTAAAATAAGGTAACGTGGAAAAATACAATCAATTGTAACTGGCCATGCCAGAGAGGTGGGGCGAATCTGTTACTTTGAGTACCACTGTCAACAAAATAAGTGTAACCAGAAAAAAACGAAAAACAAAAAACTGAAACCTCAGTATCGTTAACCATTTTTTAAGTTGATTACTCGTTTACATTAAACGGTATTTAAAGGCATTTTACTGATTACCTGGGATTAGCACCAAACACGTTACATTTATAGGCATGAAGAAATCCGTGTGATATCTGTTCATGAATAAAAATGTGTTAACTGAGTGACTAAGACAAGTTCTCCATGCATTATCGTCCCAACATCAAGTATACAAGTGATGAAAATAAAGAAAATTATCAATTAGTTGATCATTGGTTGAGGCAAAGCCAAATTCTCCGAACTAACATAACAAGAACCGTAAGGCAGACAGTAAGGAGAGTTACTAATAAGATCTTAGGAGTGAAACATACCCTTTTTGTTACCTATAGATCGTACTATGCTATAACCAGACCTAAAGACGTTGGACTCCTAAAAGGATCTGATTGAAAACTGATCATTCTCATTCTAAACGACTCACATGAAAAAGAAAAATGAAAGAATTTGGTGTCAATTAGATAAAGCTTCTGCGGCCGATTGCGTCCTTTAATCTCATTACCTTTGTATTCTTTGCCAGTCACATCTTTTAGGTAATCAAACACAACTTTAAAGAAACGAACACGGTTTGTTGCTTGAAGACGCGTGTGCGGCGATTCTGAGGCCATCCTTGGTTGTTATAAAACAAAAATGACACGGAGTTTGAAAATCTAAGAGTTTGTGTCAACTATAACACACATAACATACCCCTTATTCAGATCAACTCTATTATAACCATTGCTTGACAAGCAATGGCTGATGAATAAATTAGCTGCATGAGTCAGCAGTACAAGTGTTGGGCAGAAAACTACCAATATTCTCAGCAATTGTATATCACACAAAAGGAAACTGTTGGGGGTTTCGTTTCCTTCCTTAGTCCACATTCTTTTTAAATGTATAAGATGATGTAGGGAACGGTTACAAATCTACCTGTCATGGGGTTTTTCCTTTCCCTTGACAAAACCTCCCGGCAATGCAAGGCTAATCCTTGTTGAAAGATCCATGGGTGCAGCATGCAGATGGAGACGATTTAAAATCACGTGGGGAAATGAAAAGCCGTATTATAGGATTGCCTTTTTATATCTAATTCTTGATGAGCGTGGAAAAAAAGATTTCCTAAATTTGTGTTTCCCTTTTTTAATTTTTAGTGGCCGGTAGATCAAATCAACCGCTATGATCAGCGAACGTTCTCCACGTATTCGGAATATACAATTCCAGAACCTGTCTGGGTCACTTTCTCAGTAGATCAGATGTCAATTTATTTTCATACGCAGCCTGAGAAACAACCAAATGTCCTTTCAAGACATTTCTCAAACGTTTTCACACGTTAAAGATTCGGAGGGAATTAGCCCTTCTTCTGTTGACTTGAAACCATAAATTTGACAATACCTGATTGGTTAAACTCTTAAGTGAATGTGGGCAAACCCTACTTAGTTTTTCATGTTACTGATTTGAAGAGTTGCGAAGAGTTAATCAGTCCACGTAATTGGAGAGATTCGAGACAAAATTTACACGCACTCTTACTAAATGTTAGACGTGGAAAGATAATTTTTAAGCCAAATGCATTCCCGAAAACACACCCTAAGCATTAATTAAACAGAAACTGCACAGTAATTCTGAAATACTCGTTAAGAAATACGTTCTGTTATTAGCCGGGGCAGTTCTCTGAAATCCATTTCATTGTATTTTCTTAACAAGGCAAAGATAGAAAATTCTGTACAATCGTGTAGTCGATTGCCATATCCCATCAATGCCAACACCCAAATATCATGGGATCTAAAAAAAGTATCATTATTGGAGGTTTAATGTTTACGGGATAAAGGTCGTGGCTACTGCTGAGTCCGTTGGTGGCTTTGGTTTGCTCGCCATGGTTGTGTTGCATCTGTGAGTCCAATGATTGAATCACAAGCCCACTGTTTCACAGCCGGGCCGGGCATTGATTCATGTGAAAGAGACAATTTCCTTTTCCTGGTGTTTTGATACCTCCTACTGAATTATCATATTCTCTCCTCTACTCCAAGAGTTTCATAGAAAAACACACACTTCTGTTGACTTTATAAATATTGGAACTATGTAAAAATAACAATTCTAGTCGAGACGCAGTAGGCACTGTTCCTTTCAGAGAGATCTGACACTCTTATCCCTGGCTGGAAATAACGTTATGACCTGTTTTTGAACCCAAGGAAGCCTCTGGATCACATGCATTGTTTACCACTAAACATTTTCCAACTTCTCGTGCCAAGTGCCCCGAGGAATAAAAGGATCAATGTCGCTTGAAACCTTCAAACCTCGTTTTGTTTTCCAGCCCTGTTTAAGGCCACACACCTTTTTAATCAGTATTTCGAAGGAATATCAGCCCAGTCTAAAGCTTCCAGCGATCACTCTAAAACATTCAAAACTTGTAAGACCATTAACAACGTACCATATTAAGGGGAAGGGGTCCCTTCCCTTCCAGACTAAAATCAAGCCAAAGGAAGGCAATGGAATTACTTGAGACGTGCTAAAATTTAAAAAACGTTGCAGTAATGTCACAAGTTACAAAATGCTTTTATTGATGAGGAGTCTAGACAGTTGATTGAAATACGTCGTTACAATTGATAATTACCAAAACAACGATATCGATTACCTTCATCTGAGAAACAACGGTGTGTCAACACTTTGATCATACTGTTGAAGTTGGCGGATGAAAATTGTTACTCCATTCTGAAGAACAATCATTGAAAAAAACAATAAAAAGGTTAGCGGAGACCCATAACAAAGAGGCACATTTCTAGCTTACATCGATGACGACCTTTTACATAAAATTCAGTTTAAATTCTAGTACAGGTCTTAATGTTTTTTTTCGGGCCTTATTTTCACTACTGCTCAAGTAGTGTTTATTACTGCGAAGATCGCTTTCATATTCACGTCTTTATCCGCAGTTCACACATATAATTTTCATATAATCACAATCAGTTATTCATCACTTCACGGGTATATTTAGAGCCTACATAATGACCGGCGCCCAGTTGGCTAGTTAGCTCAGTTGGTAGAGCACTTCACCGGTATCGTAGAGGTCATAGGTTCAAATCCGTACAGGCCTGAATTTTTTCCAGGCCTCACTTTCACTACTCCATGAGAAGTGTTCATTACTGCGAAGATCGCTTCCATACTTCCATACTTTTTAAATTCTAGTCTTAGTGGTAGCTGTTATCTGCCATGGGTAACTGAAAGATAAATGTAAAATGTGATGCTAATAGAATTGAAGTTAGCCTGCAATGCAGCTGCCGTAAAAATCAAAGATGGTAGCTATAACTTTCACCAAGAGAACACTTTGCAATCACTCGCCAAAATTGTGCCTGCTCTGAAAGCAAAATTGAACCATATTTCACCAATACCAAAGATCTGTTTCAGTACATTTGAACTCGAAAGTTTTCCGCGTCAAACGTCTCAGGGATAACATTCGAAAGCCTTCCGGCTTAAATTCAAGCAAATATTTGGTGTAATTGATGAAGTCTCTCCCTCAACATTTAAAGCGAAGGATTCTTCCTTTAACCTGTTACAACTGAATAAAAAAGTTTTTGTCCAAACGACAGACTTTATATGTTTTTAAAACGCAAGATCGTCAGTGCCTCAAGTTATTTGAGCTCCAAGTGTCGTAGGAATCGAATCCCGCTCGCTTAAACTGTAACTGAACTAAACTAGAAAGAGCTAAGAACTATATACAGGAACTAAAACCCGCCATAACTCAAACACCTTGTTATCGCCTACTGTTTTGGAACCGTTTCCCCTTGGCAGTTCAACAATGCAGGATAAGTTAATTATTCTATCGTATTTAAGACTTTTAAGCATTTTTCAGCCCAATCCCTTCGTAGCTGACAAAATCAACTTCATCCAATTTTCAGTCTGCCAGGATCGGAAAGGTTTTCCTTGTAATAACATCATTATCAAAACTCGAATTCAAGATTGCCGAATTTCCTTCTGGATTTTAGATTAAAAAGTCATTCTCGCAAGGGGGAGTTTTCGAGTAATTTATGGGTTTTTATGAGCTTGTAAAGTCATAACTTAAGACTTACTATAAGTTGAATTCTCCACAAAATTGCAGTCGGTTTTACCGAAACCTTTCCACTGGATATGTTTTGAACATAAAATGAAAACGCACCGCTCTGGTGGAAAGGAAATACGCACGAAGTACTATTTCCTTTTTCCTTTTTGGAATCATCATGGACCCTTCCCCCTAAGAAGAGCTTACCTGGTGGCTGTGGGGCAGGGGGGTACCTCCTGTAAGCTATTTCTTACGTAATCACCACCTGTTTAAGAAGCCTACGTGAACCTCCTAAGGTGAAGACCAAGACCTTCGTGACAGGCACGTGCATGTTATCCACCAATTTCAGCCAAGCCGCATTTCATTAAAGTCTACATTACAATTTGTAACAACAGATGATCGAGAGCAGAGCTAGAGGGGAGATTATAAGGACATGACAAATTATTGAGCAGGAGTAAAGACATTGCAGGTATTGTGTATGGGTTTTCTTAACGAAACTGATTTGATAGCAGCAGACCACAATCGGTAAAACAATCTATGCTCAAGAAAAGAGCAATTATTGGCTAAGTATGACATTTGGAAGCTTATCAATTTCTTAATCTGTCGCAGGAGGAAAATCTGCTTGTTGATCAAATCAATCGTGATTTTTCAATCATTTTCCAATGACGTCTAAGATAAACTATTATTGAGTATCATTTAGATAGTACAACTTTCGTTATCTTTAAACAGAGCTCTATTTTAAAGGGGATACCTGGAGCATGCTTTTGAGCTATGCTAATAATTCCTCCTAATTAGAATTTTGCTTATTTTTCGTGTTTAATTATGTGATTTGGCGTGATGTTTTGCCGACTGTAATATTTCATTTCGTAAACAACTTCTTGCTTTAAACTACCTGCACAGCAAGCGCTTAACGGTTTCATTTGCACCTTGCGTAACAACGCGCTGGCTTAAGTAACGCTCTGGAAATATGTACATTTAGTTTGTTTTAGGTGTCGTCCTGTCAACAGAATTACATCGTTTCGCTTATTACGATACTCACTTGGAGCTTGCTGCGTGCATAGCAAGCGCATGGCGTTTTCATTTAGCCGGCCAAATTTAATCATATTTCAGAAATGCACTGAATTTGTTTTCCATGATGGAGATGGGGTAATGAGTTTACCTTCCCGCCGGGACGATTCGCCTCGCTGCTGATATAATCCATTTACCGTTTGCTCCGTAACAAGCGGATAGTATTTTCATTTGGTTCTTGTATAATAAAACGCCGACAAGAGATATTCATTCTCTAGAAGAACAATTTATTGATTCAATTAGAACATATGGGTTTTCTCTTCTAGGTGTATTTTTATCTTTCGTGTAGAATTAAACGAATGGGTGTGGGGTTTCAACGTTGAGTGTGACAAAAAAAAAAAAAAATTTAAAATAACAGATCGACTCCATCTAGCTGTTAACCTTTCCTGTGACCGATTCTTTTCGATCCACTGACGCATTTTTCTCCAAAGAATTTGACCGGAAACAGGTGTAACCATTTGCGCAGAAACACAGAATAGACACTAAGAATGCCACTTCGTTCTTGAAGAAATTTCCAGTTCTTTTTTCCAACCATGTTCATCTCATACAGCTCTAAACTGTAATAAAGGATTTACAGTTCAAAGGTCTTGTACAGGCATATTTACGCTATCATGGGCTGTAGCAATTTAGTGTCGTGTATTCTCCCACACCAATGTAATATCACCCTCTGCATGTGATGCCCTTACGCTTTCTACGATTACAGCTAGGGTACAAACATCGTCAACAACTTTGTGCGCAGAATTACCGTATTAAAGAAAGAGAGATTTAGACGATTTTTAAGACAGGAAGGAATTTCTCTAAGAACAGCCAATTTAGCTAAGGTTAATTCAGTGCACAGCATTTTTGCCATTTTTACGATATTTTAAGACAAGCCTGACACCAGTTATTATACAAAGCATCCACCATTTGTGTTGCAAGAACGGCTTCGATAATTTTGATTACATGCATTTTATAAAGACCAGTCACGTTTTAGATTAATCAGACCAACTTTTCCATGCATAATCGTGGATGTTTCGGGTACATATTTTGCGCAGGTCTTAGGTTTGAGTTCACGCCTCTATCATGAGCTAGCTTGCCAGAACTTTCTAAATATATGTATCATCGTTGACAAGAGCTTTGAGCACGTGATGATGAGCATTTATACAATGTACTGGTAATCCTGTTAGATTAGGTTTCCGGATTAGCAGACGGGAGGGCAGACGAAGGTTATTTCAAGACAAACATCGGTGGATATTATATATTGAGGCCGTTTTCCAATGGTGGTTGGAAAACGTAGTTTAGTGTACTTCTGACGAAAGATTGCGGTATTTGTACTTCAAAACGCTAAGAGCGATCTTCGACTTCTTGATGAATTACAAATCCAGTTACGACGAGAAAATTAATCATTCTTACTACGAGAATTGAGTTAATCGAGACAGCTATTCTGTCAATGATACATTCAAGGATCCTTTTTGCGAAGTGCCATTAATTTGGTCTGTTGACATACATAGATATCATTACTAAATATATGTCAGTTTGCAAGCAAACGCATGCATACTTCTTTAAAGTTTTTCGGATAACTCGTTATGAATTGTTGCGAGGATTTTGTGGTCGAGAACCCTAAACCAGTCAGAGCAGAAGTAATTCAAGTAATTATTTTCCGCTATGTGGTGCCAGCGGATAAAAAACACTGATCCCAATTATCAATTAATCGGTGTCTCTTAGACTGGACAATCCAAAACAGATCCAACAAGATATAGAGTAAAACATAAATGAACCTAAATGTGTAGAAAAAAAAGTGCACGATTTCTGGATACTAAAAATGAATTTCGAAGATATCAATTTCGTGATAACACCGCCCTCCGTTACAAAGAAATATGAGAAGTGTGACTCGAAAGTACACCATAAAACACGTTGAGTAATTAAAAGATTCTGTCTTTCATTCCCTCTTGAGGTCCATGAATGTATCAACCCTTAAAACACTCACATAGATTCCACAAACACACAACAAGAAAGTATCTTTTCAATAGCTATAATAAAACACTTGGCAAGCATAAACAATAATGTTATCATTCAAATTTCAAATTACGTGAGAAGTGTGGATATCCGTTTCTTTCCTGAGCCGGAAATCCTCTCTTGAGCGACTCAGAGACAATTTGAATTGAAAATTTGCTGAAGTGCTCCATTTGTTGACAATCCCAGAGAAAGTATCGGATTTAGTCCGGCAAGCTGACAGTATTTCAGTAGTAAAACACGTGCATTATTTGCATTCTTCGCTCACAAAACTACACTTCAGGCTTGATACTGTTCTCATCGACAAAAATCTTTGAGGCAGCAATGCAAAAAAACAAAAGAAACATACATACAAACACAAAACCGCTTCGGCTCAGGGTTTGCAACGATATTTGATACTGATAGACCAGTACCTCTTGCTTTCGAAGGTCACATCAGCACTATCCATGAAATAATATTGTCTTGAAACTTAACACCCTGAAGAAGCCTACAATAGAAATGGAGGTCATACTAACTTGAACTGCACTTTTGATTTATTTACGCTTCGTGACATCCATAGTATTATGCATGTTTATTGTTTCCCCACTATTTCGCTCGAGGCAGACACACGCGATTCATAAATTGTCACAAGATATCACAATGACTGTTTTGTAAACTACCTGTAATATCTAATTAGCAAAACTTTCCTGTCTAAACGAATTAATTGGAAAGCAATCATAGCGTAAAAATTCATATTTGGAGAAAAAAAATTGAATTTCATAATGAACAGACACAGTTGGAACTCATGCTTTGTACAAAGAGAAAGAAATGGTTGGCTTTAACTGAAGCAATTTAGGTAAAACCTGCTGTGGAATTTCCTGTAAAAACGTTTGCCAGCCCCTTACAGAGTTATAAATACTAAACTGCACATCTGGTAGCAATCTTTTCAGCTTGACTCATATTTCACAAAATACACCTCATTTGCTTTTGCTTCGAATATGGGTAATAATACCCTTTGTTTTCCCACTCTTAATATGAAATCTGAGCCCTTCTTTGATCAATAACACATTTCCTTCGGCGCTCGATAGTAACGATGCCTTATAAGGCAAGTATGACGTCATTCGAACGTGATAGGTTTTCAAACAAAATAAAAAACGTTGTAAGCTTGCAACCAAAGTATTCAAGTTGTATTTAATCAGAGATATGTTCTTAATAAGCCTCTGGTGTTAACAACAAGTCTTTGCTGTCCCTCGGTACTCGAGATTGTGGCTTCTTTAGGTATGGGATGGAAGAAATACACTTTTTGGCGAGCCAGAGAAGTTTCATTAGGTTAGTAGGTTGGTAGTTTAGAAGCTTCACAGAGATATGTTTCGTTTCCTTTCAACGTTCATTTGATGGTGTTTTAGTATTATAAATCTTACAACATTCAAATTGATAAGCTTCCAATTTTTTGGTTTCTTTGGAATAGATCAAAGTCGACGAGCTATTCATAGAAAACAAAAAGCTTTTCGTTTTAAATGATAATATGAACTTTGGTTCACAGATCTTCTGTAAAGACGATAGTGAAACCCTTACATAAGCAAAAATAATAGCATGATTTCAGCTGCCATTAAACCTTTTATATTCAGGCAAGTTATCAGAAGTTGCTCTACTAACTCTGTTAGTTCTTCTTCTAAAGATATTAAGTGGCTTTGCACATTTGGTTTCTCTGAGTTAAGAGACAGGAGCAAAACTAAGATTCATCTGATGTGTTTTAAATCAAATAGTGAAAAATAGCAAAAAAAAAAGGTCAGATTTTCTCCAGAATTTCGGTGGCAACTCTCCAACCGATGGAACTCGTCAAACTGGTTCACGGTTGCCGCGCTGAATAAAAAAAAACTTTCTACACCGCTGACCACTTTTATGAAAAGGTCCAGCGAGAAGCACCGGTGAGGAACTCGTTCTGGAAGCGGAGCGTAAAACAGAAGACAGTAGACTGGGAAGTTTTCCAATTCCATAGCTTCAAAGAAAAGTTGACCTGTTAAAGTAAGTAAGATCTAAATACGAGGTTAGATAAGTCATCACTTTATTTTAAAATGGTGAGTTCGCTGCTGTGAACGTTCATTTACTCAACAGTATTCATGATATGTCGAATTTTAGTTGTGATTTCAAAATAGAGAGATGTCCCTGTTGACTCAACATTGTTCGAGTTAGAGGAAATTCTTTGGTCAATCTTTTGATAGGTGTTTCGATAACGTTGTAGAAATTTTCCTAAAGCGATGCAACCTTGCATCCTCCAAAAAGATTGCCTTGGGGTTGGAGTTGGAGTTGTGTTTGTCCTTCATGTTACACACCCTGACCCGAAGGCACCAAGCAACTAAAATACACTCTACCGATCAAGAATTTATCTTAGAGAGATCCATTTTGATAAAAACGCAGTCCGGATATAGT